CACCCCCGCTGGCAAAAACACTTTAAAGACAGTTCGTCCGGGAAGGGATTTCAGCTCTCATTTTGTCCATCCGACATTCCAACAGTCTCTGTTGGATAAACTGATGCGCCCAATGCGGCTTCTCAAACGTCGGCCATCCCCGTCTGAATGTCACAGGTCCACACCGGCCCGCAACTGCCCAAGRAACTTCCTTCCGGGGCAGCCAAAAAGTTCGATGAGACCGCATGTAACCGCCACAATTGTAACCGATACGATTATAACTGCCACGATTGTAATTCATCATACGATTGTAACCACCACGATTATAACCWCCACGATTGTAACCACCGTGGTTATAACCACCACGATTGTAACCACCACGGTTGTAACCACCACGATTGTAACTATTACGACGACGATAGTGTGGCAGTTGCCACCAAGTCGGTTTGCGTTTGACCGACACGTTTTGGATAATCCACGACGCCCACGACGAAAACGTCGACCACGACGGTGACAACGGTCTACGGTTCAGTAGTCGTTCCTGTACCGTCRTCGTCCGCGTCTTACGATCGGCGAAGGCGTTTTGATGGTTGTCCGTAATCCGCAGTTGGCGCATCATATTCGTTAGGGTTTCTTGGCTTGAGAAATCCATGGCTAACCTTTCCTTGTGGTAGACAGCTCCACTACGCACCTCGTCGTCATCGTGATCCGTCCTTGTTTTATCGGACCTCTTCCAGTGCGCCCAGTCCTGCGACGGATTGACAGCATTTTTCGGCAAACACTCTGTGTACGAAACAAATCGTCTCTGCGAAGAGAAACAAAAACATACTTTCATTCGACTTCCTCTTAAAATATAAACCATTTATGTATAGGTAACAGTAGTATAGAATTATTATATATATATATATATTATGCAAAAACGCGTGAGAAGCCGAAATAATATTGATAATTAAATAGGTATTGTATATTATGAAGGAATAGCAGACCGTCGAGCTTTGTAAAATTAATAAAATGTTGCACAATATAACGTCATAAGCTATTTGAAATGTCTCATGGCAACGCATAGGTAAATCACGATTGTTGATTTGTAAAATTTTATACTGGAAGTGTGACTACTTAGTGGATTATTTGGCAAATAGAAACTTAGGAKCTCAATAATAAGGTTAGTGGCTAGTAGAAAAAAACAACAGCAATAAGTTATAATTTTTTTTTTCATATTTCACATTTTATATTTTTTTATTTACCTATTGTAAAACATATTATATTTTATTATAAAGTATTATCTAAGTGTGAAAGTTTACCTTAAAAGCTGGAACCGACCATAGTTACATCGTATGGAATATAATATTACCTACTCTATATATCACTATGAGAAATACCAAGAACCTTGCATAGCCAAATTTCGTAAAGCGGTAAGTAGATAAAGCAAAAGTATTTATTTAAAGAATTTAAACCCTCTAAAGCTTTACTCACAAGAAGAAAATCGAACAGAAAATAATGTAAAACATACCTTTTTTTGCATCACGACATGGTACTATGGTAGCCACACTGCATCGTTTATTTAAAAAAAAAATAACAAAACAATAATATATACACTTAGATAAGCTCTTATAAGGTTAAAGCCTACTTTCTATAGAGCACGTGCTGAGGTAGGAGTGGGTAACGAATATCACGAGAGCAAGAGATCAATTACATCAATTAAATTGATCGGTTGCATGTGGATAGACGAGGCCTGCTCTGTCTTATCCCTTCACTCAAATTTAAATTTACACAATGTGTATTTTATTCAGTTTAACACAAAAGTCTAAGTGGACCGACCAAAATCCACCGCCCAGGACATCGCATGAAGTAGGTTCCTTCTACTTAGACCAGCTTAGGCCTAGGCCATCTTAGACGTACCTACCACACTGAAAACCTTTTGCTCGAACCAGCCTTAGTGTTATGAACGTCACCGTGTATACCTGTGATGCTCTGTTATATTTTATATTGTGTCTCTAGTTGTATCCGAAGACGACAATTTGTTGAAACCATTCTCTGTGTAGCGGGTGATAATCAATAATGTTGTTAAATAGTTTATTAATAAAAAGAATACACGTTTTAGAGTTGAATGAGAATATTATAATTTATTAGTTTTAAAAAATGTAATTTATACTACAAGCACACTACTTAACTCAAATGAGTCGGGTTCAAGACTAAATTGCCGACAGGACCGATACTATATAGTCTTGYCGCGAATAAGCAAAATATCTAAGATAAGACGCCTATACATACAGGCGTTATCATATTCTGTAAAACAAGCGTCTCTATAGTCTCTATAGTGGTGGGCATATCAGTGGCGTATTTACGGTGGTGGGGGGGTCTAAGGGATATAACATTAGCCTCTGCTTCCTGGGGAGTTCTTATTTCTTCTCTTTCTTTGARAGTTAGGATCTTTTTTGCCATTTCGTAGAAGTTCCTAGACGTCTCTTCTGTTTCCTTATGGTAAAATCCTCTCTCCAGACGATCAAAAGGAAATTTTTCGAAGATAAGACCACACAGTATTGTCTGGCATATATTCAGTCCTGTGGAGGGCGGCCCATGCGCTTACAGAGCTCTGCCCGGAGGTCGTCCAGTTCTGGAAACGAYGAAGAGCCATATGTTTTCGGCTGTCCGCTGCTTTACAATTTAAACTAATTTCTCATTCATTACTCAAGTAGGCAAGCAGACTTGCATATAAATCTTACTTAAATTTGTTTGARCAACCATAAAMATTAAGTATTTAATTAACTCACAACTGTGATGCAGCTAAATTCCCAAACCATTGCGTCATCTCATCATAATGGGTATTTCAATGAGAACGCTCGATGTTTCATTGTGAAAAACACAAGTTTTGTGTGAGATATCTGATCAATTCTTAATTTTAATGAACGTTATAATATGGCAATTATGTATGGTATATAACATCGTTTAAATGTCCGCCACGTCCTCACACAAGCGCGTGCCACGATGAACATTCTGCATGAACGATTTGAGAGCATGGTGATATCACGCAATGGCGACATAAACTGGCCTCCGAGATCGTGCGATTTAACGCCTTTAGACTTTTTTCTTTGGAGCTATTTTAAATCGCAGGTCTATAAAAATAAACCAAAAACGATTGATGCCCTCAAAGTCAAATGTTGATTATCAACGCCATCCAGCAGATTCAACCGGATTTATGCGACAAAGTGATTGAAAATTGGACCTCCCGAATACGTGCCTCCAAGCAGCCAAGCAGCGCCGTGGTGGACATTTTTTATAACTCCATATAACGTTTATTAAAATAAAATAAAAATTGAGTRGATATCTCACGCACGACTTGTTTTTTATTTTGAATGAAACATCGAGCGTCCTAATTGTTGCGCAAACCAAGTTGACGACGTACTATGCTATTTAGCCATGGTTTAATCCAACGCCGCTAACAGCATCGATCGATAAAATATATTAATATTATAAATATTTAATAAATATAAAATATTAGATTAAAATAAATTTGATAACGGCCTCGCCTTCTACTTCCGCCAAATAATGTAGATAGCGCTGCTAAATACGATCTACAAACATGGCTGATGAACGAAGAGGTGCYAAAACGAAGTTCACTAGTTCACAGATCACTTTTTAGTTTTTACGAAATTTTATTGGGAGACTTTAACGAAGGGGGAATCAAATGTTTAAACTAGTTGCCCCATTAAATATGAAGAAKGTTCGGGAAAAATGTTTAATTTAAAATATAATGTACTAGCTGTCGTTGCCGGGTTTATTAATTGTTGTTATCTGGTAAGATTAAATATTGTCGTTAAATTAAATAAAAATAAAAATGTTTAAAAAAATATGTCATATTATATTAATTGCTTATTAAGCTGATTTTTATCGTTAATATAATATTTCTCTATAAACTACATTAGCTGTCACCTGTCATTCTTGTTGGTGCCAAAATAACTAAGCTCGTGTGCGTACTGACCTGGAGCATGCCATATACAATTGGCCATGTGAAAAACAATCTTCTTTTATGTCGATCCCTGCCAATTTCAAGGTTTACCCTTGTGATTTGTTTATTGTCATGGCAAAACATACTTTTACAGGAAACTGCACTTTCTTGAATTGGAAAAGATAATTTGATAGTATCATTGGTATGCAAGGAATAAGAACTGATTCACCTTTGCAGACTTACAACCACTTAATTTTACCTTAAGGGGTTGAATTTCCAAAAATTTTTCTTAAAGTACGATGCAATTATAATATTAATCCATCCTGAAAATTTCAAGCAGATCTGCCTTGAGGTTTATGCTCTACGGTGATCCCTACGGAGGGCAAATTCCTTAATATATATAGTTATAATGTGCTAAAAATTAACAAAATTACAGTAAAAAGTTTGAAAGAAAAACAGCAAATAAAGGTATATGTAACTGAAACAGAATTTTTACTTGATAAGCATTGTTGAGAATTCCCCAAAAATTTATTTTGCTAGTATAACAAATTTGGGCTCTATTATTAGGTATTTAAAGTTAAGTTAAACAGAGTGCATTATCTTGGTCTGTTAACAAGGTTTATAATTAGATAAAAATTACCTAAAAAAATTGTCAACAATATTATACTGGGTGGATTATTTTATACAAGCACTGGGTCCTTAATGACATTGCACAATAGCACGTTCCATTCTGTCYTGCTCAGAGCTATCTTAGTATATTATAGAAGAGTTAATGCCAATTTAATGTTTGATACATAATGATATCATACACCAACTCTCCTATCCAGATACTTTTAATAAGTTTCCAAATTAAATTTTAATTAAACACGTCTACTACAAAGATGAAGTACACTCAAAACATATTGCACAAYAAAACAAGTTGACTTTGCATTGATAATTATTTATCAATAATTAACAGTTTTTTTTTTTTAACTGACAATAACAATTTAATTTTAAAAGAACATAATTATTAATTTGTCAATATAATTTTACAATTCATTTTTTTAACTATCTAAGTTATTTGGAACAAGATATTAGTTAGTACTTAATAAATAATTCATGTTAAAAAATGTATTTTTCATAAAATCTACTTTTAAWTTGATACCTCAGACATGTTTAAAAATTTTAATATAAGCGCATTATTCATGWTCTTTTTGTTTCTGTAATTTTTATGATGGTTTTTAATGGTTCATATTATACAATAATTTATGTTAGCTGTTCATTAAATAATCATCTATGAAGAATTCACAATTTCTACAGAATAATCTGACACTATTAAAAGAATAAACTATTCATAAAAGGTTCCTTTCAATTCATTATTGAATTGTGCTAGGCAAATTCAATGTTACAATACAGTAAAACTATAAAAAAAAACTTCTTATATTAATTAATAAAAGTTATAAATATTAAAATAATTGAAAGAATATAAATAACATATAAACAAACGTATTAACAATGCTAATTGTAAGACACCTACATTTTGTAGAAATATTAATGGATTTCATACAGTTTTAATGTTAGTGATAGGTAAATCTTCACAGACCTCTTCTAAGTCAGGACTCAATGATTTCTCTTTAAATTTTCTGTCTACTATTGATTTAAATTTTTTTTTTGGTGATAAAAGAATAGGCGTAATCCTTTTTTTGCCTCCAATTATGTTGACTTTTTGTCCTTCCTTAACTATGTCCAATACTGGTGGTTTTGAACTCTCTATATTGTTGAAAAGATTTTTTGGAATAAAAACATCTTTCTTAGGCTCAATCACATCTTGATCCATTTCCCCACATGGCCTAATTTATTAATAACAATGTTGTAATTTTATATAAATTTTGTGTAATATAAAAAATGATATAGGTTAAAAATTACTTTTCAGATAAATTGGCTAATGTTTTTTGATTTTGAGATGTCATAAAACTGGTTATTTTTTTTGTGGAAGATTTTGGTTTTTGAATTTCATTTTCAACATTTGTAGGATACTCAACTCCATATTTTTTAAAGTTCTCTTCACTTACACACCTACATAAAAAATATTATAAAAAAAATATTTAATAATTTAATAATAATTGTATTACCATGGAGCAACATGAGTAGATTTTGTCGCAATAGTTTTAATAGTTTTCTTAACAGTTGATAAAGAGATTGAGTTATCATCATCAGTATTTCGGCCATTTTTTACCAGTTCATCAATAAAATTCTTAACAGCTAATTTCATACCATTTGTATTGCCATGTATAAATGTAATTAAATCTGGAATAACTGAAAAAATACAAAAACTGTTTGTAATTTATGACAGTTATTATATTAACATATATGTATAAATTATACAAGTACTAGAACTAATTTTTAATTTTAATCTACTTCATTTTATAATTAGTTAACTGGAATAAACTATTTTAGTTTTAACAATAACTTAAGGTCATGTCGTTTTAAAAACAAATATTTCAAATACTGATGATAAATATTTTAATTGTTGAATTAATAAGTTCTTGTTCTTTAGAACAAAAACAAATATTTCAAATACTAAATCCATCAAAATATTAAATGAATCAGTATATTTCACACAATACACATACAAAATAAATAATCCATTTAAATTTCTAGAAAATGAATTACTGAAAATTTAATGATGTTAAACTAAAATTTAAGTACTCCACAATTTATATCCGATTTTTTAATTTAAAAAATTTACTTTTTAATAAAAAATATTATAAAATAACTACACTGAAAACTCTCTATAACGAATTTKAAGGGACCATGTGATTTCTTTAGTTWATGAGAGTTTTCGTAATAAAGAGTAATTAATTGGTTTTAAATTAAACCAACCATTATAAGTTAACTTAATGTTATTAACGAAACATTGATTTTTTCGTTGTGACGAGTTTTGTTATAAAGAGTTTTAACTGTATGACTAAATTTAAACAAAAATATTTTATTAATAATTTTTAATAGTACTTGAATCAGGAAGTATTTTAGTCTTTTTGTTTTCAGTAGCAGTTAGGTCCTTAGGTGACTCTACTTTGATCTGTGCTTTTGTTACAATAGGTTCTTCCTCGTCCCAAATACAACGATATTTTAGTAATGTGTCCGCTACAGATTTACTAACTGAAATTAATATTTATTAAAAAAAAAATAAATAAAACAATAATTTGTAAAATATCAGTATTCTACCATTTTTAGGGTTGGTAACATTATTCGGTATCCATATACAACCAACTAGCCTTGGCTTGATACGTTCTGTTTTTTTCTTGATTTCTGCTTCAAATTCTTCCCCTAGAAGCTTTAATTTTTCTTTTTGTGCTTCTTCAGTCTTTAAATAACAAAAGAATTAATAAATCAATATTATTRTTTTCTTGTATAAAATGTTAAATAGTATATACTAACATCATTGTCGTCGCCTTCATGGTCACCTTCTTCATCACTTAAATATCCATGTGGAACAAAAACATCATTATCAACTTCATAATCATCCTCAGGCTCTTCTTCGTTATCTGTTCCATGTATACTCTCACCAGGATCTTCTTCTTCCCACTCATCATCAGAATCAATTTCGTAGTCAAACATCATCTAATCAAAAWAAAATAAAATTCAAAATAATAAGTAAAATAAATGTTTGTAAGAAATAAATAATAGCTCATACATTATCACAAGCAAATGGCCTCTTTGGTTTAACAAAAAGACTTTTTTTTCTCCATGTTCCCCAATAGGGAGGACGCTTGTTTTCATCAAACTGTAACAGTTTCCACCGGCATTTTTGAGAATTGTTTTTAAGAAAAGTATCAACTTTATTCACATCTTCATCATTAGTTGAACCAGTTTCTAAATAAATATTGAAGAGTTTAAAAATTATTATGATTAAATAATCAAATAGCCAATTTCATAAATCATAAGTTTAAAAATTATAACTATACAATTAAGTCACAAATTAAAATTAATTTTAAAAATAATACTTAGACAATTATAATATCAATAGCAGATACAGCCCCAAAAATATTATTATTACATTAAATGCAGAATAAAAATTAATGCTGTTATTAAGTTATTTAAATTAAAAAAAAACATACCAATTATGATGACATCTGTATCATTTTCAATATGAACGGGCCAAGTYGCATCAGACTTAGAAGGCTTGTGTTTTCGAGTTTTTAATAAACTTAAATACAATAAATCTGTATTTTGTTCACAGTGACTAATATATTTATCTACATTTTTTTTACYATCACTATTTAAATATGCTCTACATAATGGTGCAATTTTCATGTCTTGCTTAGTCTAAAAAATGTAATTAAAAAAAAGTAAATTTTAAAATTGGTTTGGTTGCACCTATACGAGTATAATATAATGTCAATGTAAAAATATGTAATATCTAAAAAGTAAATTAAACATCAAAAATTACCTGGAAAGGCATGAAATAAGTTTCTAGTTCTTGATTAATGATCTCTTCGTCTTTTTTAGAAATATCCAAATTCAAACTTTTAGGTTTAAAAAACCCAACAAAAGCAGCTTTGAGCTTTTCTTTTTTTTTCTTTTCCATTTCTTCTTTTTCTTTTTGTTTTTCTTTTTCTAATTCTCTTGCTTTTCTTTCATCTTCTTTTTGCTTTTTTTCTTTTTCTCTCTCCAAATCTTTAGCTTTTTTTTCTTCTTCTTTTTGTTTTCTCTCTAGTTCTTTTTCTAACTCTTTGGCTTTTTTTTCTTCTTCTTTTTGTTTTTTTTCTATATCACGTAGTCGTTTGGCTCTAAAAATTATAACATTATTTTTATACAGACACWGGCATTTATTTATACATTTACTATTCTATTTAATTCATACTCAATTTCAGCATTTCTTTTTTGTTCTTTTAAACGTTGCTTTTCAGCTTGTTCTTTGAGTTTTTCTTCTCGAGCTTTTAATTTTTCCTATTAAGGGTTAACATTGTTTAAAAAAACATTTAAAATAYAATGTAATTTCTTGCCTGGAAAGTAATGCATAAATAATAAATACAATTTACCTGTTTAATTCTTTGTCTTTCTTCATTTTTTTTTGCTGATTCTTGTTTTCTTAATATTTGTTGTGGGGTAAGCTTCTTTGAAGGTGGTGTAGTATTTTCTAATTTCTTAGTATCAGAAATTGAATTTACTGATGTATCRTGACAAGCAATATCTGTATCTGATGAAGTAGATATGGTGTCATCAACATCTTTGATGCTTTCATCAAATTTTAAAGTATCCRCATCATTTATTTCTTCATTCACCTTGTTAATTATGTTGTCAGATAAAGTTATATCTGAACTAACAGATTCYTTAGCACCTATATCCCCATCACTTGTTTCCTGAGAAAAATACCAATATTATGTAACATTTATATTTTTTTTCTTTATTAATATATTATACACAATCTGTACGCAAACAATTAAATTATGAGCTAATGACAAGGGAGAATGAAGAAGCCGCCCACTGATGACACTTACGTCTTTTGATTATTATGTTTTAAGAATTATTATTATTATTTTTTGTTAGGAATTTAGTAGGTTAGTAGGTCTATAMACCATTTTCGCTTAAGGCAACGAGGAGAGTTAACCTTACCAGGGATGGTTAATGAAGCTAGATTTTTGATAAGTTAGTTTGGATTAGAGTTAAGGCCTTATATTTTAATATAAAAATGGTAATAGCCTGGGTATTTAAAAAGTGAAAAAAAAAATTATTTAAGTAGGTAGGTAATATTTTTTTCACTAAAAATTAATTTTTGTCGTGGAATAATATATTTGTAGTAAAATGTAGAAGTAGGAAGTATTTTAGACAAATAAATAAAATTACTAATAACCCATATATTAACAATTATTTGTAAATTAAGGCTAGGTTAATTAAATTCTTAATTTTTTGATATCATGCAAAATAAATGATTAAAAACAGAATAATTGTATTCTTACCTAGTTTTAAGTACCAGGACATAAATAAATAATTTTATCTGCCACAAATAAAAGGTAACTAGCTTAAATTATAGAGAATAATCTATGCAAAGTGCTATACCAAATAATGTATTAGACTGTAGTCATTACCTCGGTTTTTTTCTTATCTTCATCTTCAGATTTAATAAAACACTTGGTCCCTCCATTGAGCAGTTCAACTTTAGGATTTTCAACCCGTGTTTCGTCATTTTCGGTGCCACTCAGTTTCCGTTTACGACACTTGGAATTACCATCGTCACCGGGCGAATTTACCAACTTGAACGGTAGACACTTTTGAACCAATTTCTTGGCAGACTTTTCGACAGCTTTGCTGCTGGACATGACTACCTAAATAGACTATGAAAATCAAAATTCCCAAGTTAAATTTTTCATTCAATGATACATGAAATGTCATAGACTTAGAAACATAGCATTTATTAACAACAAACTCACTTCAAGAACAAATCAAAATGAGATTAAATGTGGAATAAGTTGTACCAGTATCTGATCTATAATACAACCGTACTACAATATAAAGTGTAATGAGGAGTATAATAGACAGAATTTTTTATTACTACAGAACACAAAAACATTGAATAATATTTTTACTCAGTATTCTGACAGTCTGTTTACCTTATCGGAGGAATTGTTTAACCTAACAATGCATTGTATTGCCGAGTAGAAAAGGCGCGAAATTCTATCTAGTCTTGGAATAAAGATCCTGTTCGTTTAATTTTTTCATCCATAACATTAGTTAACCGCGGAATTATTTTGTAATATTATTATCTTACCTATGAAGTTCAACTATATATATTATAATACATAATTAATATTTAGCACTATAAAGTGTAGACACTAGTTCATGAAAATATTTTAATATGTTCATAATGTGTGTACATGAGAGACGCCATWACTCATTTAGAAAAGAGAGGAAGACATCTTCCCMTGTCTTATTTTGAAAGATTAACAGTGGTAAAAAATCATGCCTATGCAACAAACTTTTTAATATATTTTGTAAAAATAATAAATACTTATAATATTGGATGCTGGTCGCTGGGAAATTTTTACCACAACTCAGTATTCAAACAGACTACAAATGGATATTATAACAGTTAATAATATGTATATTTAATGTTTTAATAGAAATTAAAGACGAGTGTGTACAAGGTGTTGCATGATAAATGATAACCAATGCTCGAATTATTAATTCTTTATTAATTTTGTACTAATTATTATTGGGATTTGGGAATAACAAGCATTGGTTAAATTAGTATTCTGCTGTAGTATATTTAATCAATGGTATTATATAGGTGGAGGAAGAGAAGCTCTATCCGATAATTTTAAACTGCGTTCCAATAAGTGCAAAAGTATTTAACACAAACGTGACAAACTCATGGTTATTAATAAATTTTTAATACTACATTTAAGCTAAATTATAGCATTTTACTTTATTATATTCCAAATATAACATAAGAATCGATTAACACACCTAGTATATTAATTATTTAATGTAGGTATTATAATAATTTAATATAATATAATATATTTGAACTATCTATGTAACACGTAAGTATAATATGTGACATATAAGAATACCCATACCTATGGAGTTATATATATTTTTTACATTTACCTTTTTTTCGAAATTTTTCAAGTTACATTTCATACATTCCGCAATCWCTTAAATAAGTAATTTTTTTATATTATTATTATTATTATTCCCATATGTATAACAATCATACAATTACTTCAATATAATATATTAGAAAAATGTTTCAAAATTAATTGTTATWGAAGAGGGGTCTGGATTTAGTTTTACCAGGGCCAAAAATATGTTATGGGGGGCCTGTCTATATGTATACTTGTATACATGTTTCAGTAAGAAATAAACAATTATAATTATCGGTGATAAAATCTTAATTTGTGATTCAGAGTTCAAGGTGTTCAGAAGCATGTCTATATTATGTCAATCGTCAGCACTAGTGTAGTATAGAGATATTTGATAATTACTACAATAGTGTATTCAATACACTGTATTGTATAATTAATACATCTGTGCACTACTGCACTACTAATTACTTAACATACAATAATATATACCTATATTAGGTAAAAAGGCATAGTAATATATTATTACGAAACCAACTTTTTGTTATTTTTTTGTGCAATTGTTCAGTGATCACAGACCACCTTCACAGATCACCACCACCACCTGCAGTTGAATATGTTTCTAGTAGGTTAGGTTAGGTTAGATAGTAAAACTGACATCGTTCTAGGCAAATTAGTTATAAATTGATACCAAATATAAAATCATACATTTTGATGAAAAAATTAAAGAGCGACTTAAAGGGATAAACAAACTATAATCAAAAAAAGCACGGTATACTAAACTATAAAAATGATAAAACATTTTTATGCCTACCTATCAAAATGTGTAAAATTCATGGTAAATCATTGACAGCGATTTAAATCAATTACATATTTTAATGATAATTATTTCGGATTCGGGCATTAGTAAGTAGGTTGTAGTCTAGCTAATCTGATAAGACAAATATTATGAATATACGACAATTTAAATACCATAAAAAAATGTCTACGAATGCAATTATAATATATAGCCAAGGGGTGATGGGGGTCCTGCCCCTCCAATAAATCCTGCCCCCTGGATACGCCAATGGCCCAACAGTAATATTCATTTATTTTGAAATTATTGAGGAGTATAATTATTAACACTGACTGAAATTGAAATTTGATAATTATCAAATAGATATAAAAATATTATACAGACATATTGTGTAACTATCTACCTAAATACTCATAGAATAATTCTATATGTCGATAATAATTCAATTCAATTATAGTATAATGTTTAGTTTGAAATTTGAGAATAGTACATTAGTATACAGTATTACAATGGGCGAGACCGTTATCGACCAAAAACGTACCCTTTCCTTTTCGGCCGATTCACTTTTCGACCAAATTTAAAAAAGACTGATTCCCTTTTCGGCCAAAACAAAAATGTATAATATAATACATGTAAAAAAAATAAAATAATTGCTGCTACATAATATAGTTTTTTATAAGTTGCATAAAATGTTGTAAAATAACAATACTCATAAAAATACAATTCGCGACAAAATTATTTACAAAACGATATTAATTTTACACACACACTAAAAATTATCCCTATTACTCGTATTTCATTTATTTAAATTTTGAAGGTTTTTCAAATGTCTTGGTACTGTTCAGTACCAACTTATACTTTTAATAATTTGTCAAAATTACATAATTATAATATAATTGCCATAATTTTACAAAAAATTTTGTTTTTGGTCGTAAAGGGGATCAGTCTTTTTTAAATTTAGTCGAAAAGGGAAGGGTACGATTTTGGTCGAAAAGGGAATCGACCTTTTTTAAATTTGGTCGAAAAGTGAATCGTTCGAAAAGGGAAGGGTACGTTTTTGGTCGAAAACGGCTATGCCCATTAAAATAGCCAATAGTTATATCTTATCTAATATATACATTTTACACACACAGATAATATAGGTATATTAATATATTTATACAGGTAAATACTAAATACATATATACCAATTAAATGATTAAATCAGGGGTCTTCAACCCGCGGCCCACCCTGTCACAGGGGCGTCATTTCAGGTATTTTTCGGGTGTGCGAAGTTTCAAGCAGGCCATTTTGAAATTTCACCAGACCATATAAAAATAGATATATTACATA